TATATGTTCATCATACATTGGTGGACACTGGGATTCCTTATACTGTGTTCTTGCACATGAATAGTATGTGTTCTAATAGTACTACTGTCTTTCAAACAAATTGTACCTAACCTGGCTTGTTTTTATGTGTTCCTGTTTTCATAACTTTCATTACATGAATTAATCTCTGAGTTATGTGGAAAAGCTTCAGTCTTAAACATTCAGAACTTCTTATACCTTCTTTTGCCATGACCTAGTCCAGTGGTCGGCAAACTGAGGCTTGCGAGCCACATGCGGCTCTTTGGCCCCTTGAGTGTGGCTCTTCCACAAAACACAATGTGCGGGCACGCATGTACAGTGCGATTGAAACTTCGTGGCTCATGTGCAGAAGTCGGTATTTTGTGGAAGTGCCATACTCAAGGGGCCAAAGAGCCGCATGTGGCTCGCGAGCCACAGTTTGCCGACCACTGACCTAGTCCTATTGGCTACTCATAGTCATTGTTTTTCTAAAACAATCTCCCAATTAGGTCCAATCTTTCAGAAAGTATCTAAGCATCATTCCTACTTGCCTATTTGTCAATATATGTATATTAAAACTGCTCTATGTAATAGGAATCCAGACTATAGATTTTCAACCTTTTTCATCTCGAGACACACATAAACTAATTACTAAAATTCTGTGGAACATCAAAAAATAGATTTTTTAACTCATTCACATCAGACGGCTATTGTTGTGTTGGCCGTTGTCATTATTTTATTTGACAATCTAAGGGAAAAGAGGTCAGTGCCCCTGACTAAATAGTCAGGTATTGCATGTTTTAAAAATTCTTGCAGCACACCAGTGTGCCACAGCACACCGTTTGAAAATTGTTGATCTAGACAACTTAAAAGTTTTTGGAATACCATTCACTCTTAATATTATTGAAAAAAATAAGAACAAGGTAACATCACAGTTTTTAAGATTGAAACATTTGAGATATTGCCTTAACACAATGGATTCAAGGGTAACTGAAAAAAATCAGGCATGTTTCAACTGTTAAAACATTTAATGTAGTATGATTGTGTGAATATGTGTAGGACAAATGAGTGTCTATCTTAGTATAATAATCTTAAAAAGTAATATAATAGCTAGGTTATGTTTTTAAATTACTTAATTTATATTGGACACCTAGTTTAGGGTACTGTGGATATTTCCAAAGTTCTGTCTTTGGCCTGCCTTCATTCTCTTCCCAGGAATCTCCTTTACTCCCATGGAAATTAGCTTTTATCTTTGTGGGAAATTTTTCAGTATTTTTTTTTATGTTTTTGGTATTGTTTATTTACTTTGTAAAAATCTGAAGTAATTTTACATTTATAGAAAAGATGCAAGAATAGTGCAAAGAACGTCTATAGACCCTTCAGTCAGATTCCCCGATTGTTAACACTCTGCCACATGTGCTTCATCATTGTCTCCCATCAGTTTTCAGACACACATATAGACATGCGCATATATAATATACTTAATATTATGGATAGATTACACATACACACATACATATATACCCTTGTATACACATATTTTTCCTGAATCTACAGGGTGCCTAGTTACTTCTACACACTTAAGTGTGTATTTCCTAAAAGACAGAGGACAACCAACAAAATCTGGACATGAACATTGATATACTACTACTATCCAATTCATAGATCCTATCCAAATTTCCCAATGTCATTTATAACAAAAAAAGAAATCAGAAAACAGAATTACTTTAAAAGAAAAATAAAATAAAAAACAATTATTTTTCTTCTAGTCCAGTATCCAGACAGAAGCACATTGCATTTAATATCCATGTCTCTTTAAGCTTCTTCAGTCTGGAACAGTTCTTTGTCATTCATGGCCTTCACATTTTTGAAGACAGATATGTTGGAGAATGTTACATAATTTGAATTTGTCTGATGTTTTCTCATGATTAGATTTAGATTAATCATTTAGGGCAGGAATATCACAGAAGTGATTCTTTGTTCTTTTTGGAGTATCATAGCAGAAGGCATGTGATGTTGACTTGTCCTATTACTGGTGAGGTGGACTTGGATCACTTAATCAAGGTAGGGTTTGTCAGGCTTCCTCATGGTAACTTACTGTTTCTCATCTCTAATTAATAAGTAATATGTGGGGTGATGCTTTGAGACTACAACAAACTTTCACCCACTAATTTTCATATGTCAATGATTATTGCCCTAATCTATTGTGATAATTGCCAAATGATGATTTTCTAACTCCACCAGTTCTACATTACTATTGTACTGTAAGGAAATGCTTTCCTCTCTCCTTACTTATTTAGTTCATTCTTCATTTATTTTTTAAAAGTGTATTTTTATTGATTTCAGAGAGGAAGGGTGAGGGAGAGAAACATCAATGATAAGAGAATCATTGATCAGCTGCCTCCTGCACATCTCACACTGGGGATCAACACCACAACCAGGGCATGTGCCCTGACAAGGAATCGAACCATGACCTCCTGGTTCATTGGTCAACAATGAGTCACACTGGCCAGGTGCCTTTTTTCAGATTTATGACTACCTTCTCTGAAAGAGATAAAATTGCTGTTCCATTATTTTCAATATATTGTCCCTTATTTTCTTTAATCCTTACTCGATATTTTTTCCATTTTTAGAGTGGGAAGGAGGGGGAGAGAAACATGGACAAGAGAGCGACACATCGATTTGTTGCCTCCTGCACACACCCCTTCTGTGCGTGGGCCAACGCTCTAACCACTGAGCAACCAGCTGGGGCCCGCCTCAGGTTTCTGACCCCCTCCAACTGTGACCACACTTTGTGGTGTAGGCCCCTCGGCTTGAAGTAATAGCAATAGAAAACCAATATAATTCCTGTCACTCCCTAATCACATAACCTAAGCCTGTTTTCTTCATGGCTCTCAGTGTTTTCTGAAATAAAGTGTTGTTCTTGTTTACCTGTCTCCTAGCCCCTGAAAGGTAACCTATGAAGGCCCCGCCCCCAAGACCCAGGTCCAGCAAGTGCCAGAGGAACCCACAGCACACGTGTTGAACGAGTTCCTGAGTGAAGAGCTTTTTTCTGATTTCTTAAAATTTTATTTTTGTAATAGAACTGATTCATTCACATAAAAATACATTATGATTTCTTAAACCTCTTTAGGCCATCCCAAATACATTCACAAAAAAAAATTTATTTTTGTCAAAACCTGTATCTCAATCTTTGGTTCAGAAATGCAATTGCCGCTTTGTGAGCTGCCTCGTGGAGGTAAAGGGTCCCCACTGCAGACCAGTTTCACACTAGGATTTGCTTCCTGTCCTTGGTCCCCCACTATCCAACCAAACCTTTGGCTTCTGGTGGCCAGTTGACCTGTGGTGCTTTACACCCCGTCTCCTGTTCACCTGCCTGGTGGTGCTTCTGGTGAGGCAGCGGTACTCCCATCCCAGGGCTGTAATGGCCCGGGTAATCTTAGCTCCTTGAGTTCTTGTTCACTTCTTACTTGGGGACCAGGAATTGCAACCATTGGAAGTGGGGGCAACTTGGATGCTGTTTGCTCATGGCTACAGGCCTGGAAGGGGAGCAGGCGGTGTGGGACAGCCCCTCCTTATGCCCCCCACTAGCTCTAGCTGGCCCCATGCTGCCCCCACCCACAGCTTTACTCCTGGTTCTCTTTGTGGTTCCTAGGGAGCCTTCACTGGGGTTAAATAGATGCTTTGCTTTAGCCAGTTATTTTTGTTGTTTTCAGAGAGGGAGAGGGAGAGATAGAAACATCAATGATGAGAATCATTGATCAGCTGCCTCGTGCCCAACCCCAAATGGGGATCGAGTCTGCAAATCAAGCATGTGCCCCTGACTGGAATTGAACCCGGGACCCTTCAGTCCACAGGCCAACGCTCTATCCACTAACCAGCTAGGGCCGAAGTAGGTATGTTCTTATTAAAAATGAGGAGAGAATGATGCTCAGAGAGGTTAAGAAACTTGCCCAAGTTGGCACAGCTGGGAAATAAGGGTATCTAAAAGACCATGCGTGTTCATTCATTTTCTACACCAGTTCTATTTAAGCCTTGTTCTTTGTATGACTTTGGTGGTCCTTCTAAGTTCCAAACCTCTAGGAATTTTTAAGCCTATTTTCTTTCTAATTATAGTATATATATTACTATGAGAAATGCCAATTTAAATAAAATCACCCTTGGGGAACACATGAATGAAGAAGAGATAAAAGCACTTCGATCCTTGTGAACACAGCTCCATGATAAATATACCATAACAACATCTTTGCTTAGTCTCAGAGCAAGACTGTCATGCCCTAGCCCAGTGGTCGGCAAACTGCGGCTCGAGAGCCACATGCGGCTCTTTGGCCCCTTGAGTGTGGCTCTTCCTAAGCCTTAAGAATACCCTAATTAAGTTAATAACAATGTACCTACCTATATAGTTTAAGTTTTAAAAATTTGGCTCTCAAAAGAAATTTCAATTGTTGTACTGTTGATATTTGGCTCTGCTGACTAATGAGTTTGCCAACCACTGCCCTAGCCGGTTTTGCTCAGTGAGTAGAGCGTCGGCCTACAGACTCATGGGTCCCGGGTTCGATTCCGGCCAAGGGCACATGCCCAGGTTGCGGGCTCGATCCCCAGGGTGGGGCGTGCAGGAGGCAGCCAATCAATGATTCTCTCTCATCATTGATGTTTCTCTCTCTCTCTTCCTCTCTGAAATCAATAAAGATATATTAAAAAAAAAACAACTAACTGTCATGATGCCTCAGAAAAGTACTAAGACAGTAAAGCTGGGAAAGGGTGGAGGAAGATGACTGAAAAGAAGTAGTTTCTACATTGTAGAGAGAGAGAGAGAGGTGCCTCTGTAAGCTTCCCTGTCATTCTCCAAGTACACATAATCGCTACATACTACTTACCTATGAATAAACAAGGACCCGATTACTACAATGATTAGAACAAAACATAAAGGAGCTGACTGAAAATGAGAACTAAAATGCAACAATCCATAAATATCACATAAGAAATGTTATCAGGACATTTTGTAATTTGTGCAATCTAAAAAGCATTTATTGCAATGACAAAACTACAGGTTAACTATTTTTTATTGTTGAATTATATTGTAAAGTCTACATCTACAGTTTAATCGGGAAGAAATGCTTTGCGTTTACATCAAGGACACATTAATTCTAGTGGAGTAAAACAGACACACACAAAAGACCAAATACACATGGGGGGAGAGGGGGGGAAGACTTTTATCTGGTCCTACTTTTGCTATTTTGGACCACACCTTTCCTGTTAGAAAATTGATCTTACATACATATTAAGTCTGATTTATCATCCCACATTTTTAAACAGTAAATGCAGCTTCTCACAATTTCTAATTATAAACAAAAGATCGAAAACAAAATGGGAAACAAAGTTTAAAAACAAAGAAAGTGAAAGTAGACTGCTATTATCTTACGCAGGAAAGTTGAGTAAAACGTGCCCCCTGTGTGGCTCATCTCAAAGAAACACTTTTACTCAAAGAGGCAAGCATTTCTGACCTATATGTTTCTTACTCCCTCGGGCCTATAAACATTTCTGATAAACTGCCAAGTGACAAATGTCTACAAAATATCTAAAAGCTAAATATCAGAAAAGGGCTAATTCAAATAAAAATTGTTTGCTGGTCTAAATATACACCTTTAGCATTTTCCCTTTTGCAAAAGTATCTTTTTATTTCAGATGGCATTTAAAAATAACTTACATTTTTAGTGTGCTTATGGCAAAGACTGTAAAATTAGTAACTCAAATGAGTAAGTTTAAATTTTCTGTTTTACTTGATTCTGTTGAAATTTCAATTAATTAACCAAGTTATACATGAGGTAAGTTTTAGCTAAAAAAAATACATCAACCACAAGATAAAGTTAACCACTTCAAGAGTACACAAAAATCATAATGCCCACCTCATATTCAGAGTTCACAAATTCATGTAACTACTGTGTATCCAAGAAAAGTTTATGTAATTTAAAAGCTAATACTTTCTGCATTTTAAAATCAAATTATGTCGGGAAACAGGGCAAAAAAAACTTGGCAAAATTTGTTTTTAGTAACAGAAGACAATGCAATAAGGAATTCAAATGGAAACAAAGACCAGTGTGTAAAGTTTCTAACTTCTAAATAGACACACACTTATTTATTAAAAAATATTTGGTAGCAAACTGGATTGACAATATTTTTAGCTGTAAATAAAAAATACAGGTTCCCAATTATAGCCTTCTAGCTAGCTAAACAGCTTTTAAAAACATGGATAGCCAGTTAACAGTTTTCTAAAACATATACATATAGGAATCTTTAGCACTAAAAGATTACTGCTAAAATTCAACTGTATTTAAATGGGTCTTACTGAAGTAGGACATTCATGATACTAGAAATTTTTTAAAAAGTGAGTACAACAGGGCTACACTAATAGCATTACTAGTAATAAAAGTTACTGAAGAGATTATTGCCGTATTTTTCCCCATAAACACCATTAAACTTCGTTGCTGTTACAAAAGTACAACTCCAAGTTACTTTTTCTCTTACCAAATTTCATGTTTCACATATCTCTAAAGTTTTTATTCAGCAGAGAATAATTCTTAAATCTTTTCTGTAAGAATTCAAAGTATTTAAATGTGTAGCTTCACATTATACATTTCGCCCTTCTTGAAACACAGAAACAATATACATTTTTCTCAAAAATGAAATAAGATGCCCACATTAAAAAAATAAAGTCTACAAAAAAGTTCCAGAGCTAAAAAAGATTATTTGTATGGCACGAAGTGATCTCCTACTAGTCCAAAGTCCAAAACATTTAAATGAAGTCCATTTATATATCGCTTACTTTTCAATGGAATACTACATTTGAGGTGAATCACATTATATTTAGCTCTTGCGTCAAGAAGTGTACACAATTTTTTTATACAGTTATTAAAAATAGGAGACCAAGTTGAGTGTGCCAAAGAGATATCATTCAGTTGAGATTTTTAGAGTTGCCAAGATAAAAACCAGAGAATGGATTTACTTGGTTGGTTTCCATAGCTTGATAGACCAAAAACAAAAAAATGGCCACAACAACAAACAGCAAAATTTTTATCCACATGGGAATAGAGTGTCCCTTTTTTGTCTTTTCTGGCTTGACATCTGCCAAAGGAATATACTTAGGAATATATTTCGATGAAAAAGATTCCTCCATCCTGAAATCACTGAATTCTAATGGCCGCCCTGCAGCCCCTTTGATTGGTCTGCGACAACTAGCACTGTTGGGAATAAAAGGACAAAGAAAAAAATAAATTTTAGATAAAGTCATGAGTTACATAAGTAATATAAAATATCATTACCACTCCTTATTCCAAATGCATTCCTTAACAGTAGGTAAATGTCACATATAAACAGGTCAAGCTACTTAAAACTTCTATACATTTTCCATTTAAAAGATGCATTATCTTTTATTAAAAAATAATATTCAGAACATTGATAAATATTCACTAAACTTGCCTTCTTAAAGTCTTTTCAGAGCTAACATATTTAGGAGATAAGAGGAAAGAAATAAGGTAGTTTGGTTGTGATTCCTTCAGTCAGGAAACAATTCAACAGATATCTAAATATAGTCTTTTCAATCAGAAAACAGAATCTCTCTGTGAAAACAATGATTTCCTTCTTTAAAAATAGGTAAATTATTTCTTTATAATCCTTCAGTTTAACAAAGTTAATTTTGAAACAGACTCAATTTTCCAGAATATGAACTGATAGCTTAGAAATCTTCCCAAAGAACAGTTTAATTCTGAGAACACAAGTATAGTTAACTTTTTGTGAAGAATGAAAAATTAAAATTCCCATTTATGTGTATCAAATAATGTTGTATACCCTAAATGTATATAATTTTGTGTCCATTATATCTAAAAAAAGGTGGGAATAAATAAGTGAATAAATAAAAATGCCCCCATAGAATACACTAATACTTGTTTCAATGTATCTGAATACCTAATTCCTGTTGGTGTAGATGCTTCAAAGGGAAACATTTCCTTAAGAATATCCCTTTCTATTCTTCTTTCCTCTGTTTTTTCTCCCACCTAATAAGAAACAAACAACCAAAGTTAAAAATTAGTGTAAATGTGCAACAATGAAAATATATTTTAAATGGAAGTTTCAAAGAAGAGAATGCACTTAAATCTATCCTAGCTTTTAACCGCTATTTCTAAATTCATTATCACCTAAGTATCCACATATTTCCAAATTTCTTCAAATTTAAGATGTTAATGTGATAATTGGGGGGAAGGGGGATAGCCACACATTAAAAATTAACAAGTTAAAGTAAAAGAAACAAAAAATTCAGTGAAGCTAATATGGCAGTATAAGTTCCCCCACTGGATTTCCCATGCTTTTCATTAACATTAAGAGTACATTGTTTTTTCCTCCATTAAAAACTTCGTAATATGCCCGACTGGAGTGGCTCAGTTGGTTGAGCGTAGTCCCATGAACCTAGAAGCTGCCAGTTTGATTCCTGGTCAGGGCACATGCCAGGGTTTTGAGGCTCAATCCCCAGTAGGGGGCCTATAGGAGGCAGCTAATCAATGTTTCTTTCTCATCAATGTTTCTCTCTCCCTCTCTCCCTTCCTCTTTCTTAAAAATAAATCAACAAAAACATATTTTAAAAAAATACTTTGTAATAAATGATCAAATATAGAAGATATCAAATTAATATGGACCTTTAACAAATTTTAGTATGTGTTTTAAAGCAGTCAATCTGATCTTCCTAACTTAAAAAAACATAAGATATATACTTTTCAACAACCTGATTGTTTTGCTTGTTTGCCTTTATGCCCCGATCAAAATAACCTTTGGTAAAAATTCATTAAAACTATAATGCATCATGCAGTTAGTACTTTAAAGCTTAATTATACAGGAGTTAATCAAATGAAGCATCATACAAAGTCATTTTAAAGTCCCATTATTTGACCTTTCAGTGAAAGATAGTAGAGCCTCCCGTATTGCCCAGTTATACTTTCAACTCTCATCCATAACGAAGAGGAGAACATGTTATAAGCAGCACACAAATGACCACGCCCTTGAAAACTGTAAGTTAAGAGGCACACAGTAGTAGCAAGAGGATAGTATTAGCACGTCATATTACATTGGTTACTTTTTATTGTCACTAGCCGAAGTATGTCTTTAAAAATATATGTGCGCGTGCACACACACACACACACACACCCCACTCAATAAAGCTCTGCTCCCTCCCACTTCTAAAAAACAAATATAAGTATTTCCTCTTTAAAAGATCAATGATAACATCGATCTAAATTTTATTCATTTACTTCAGCTCTTGTCAATGGTTTCTTTGGTGTTCTTCTGGGTATGTCTGAGAATTCAGTGATTGGCAGAATAGGAGCTGCATGCTTGAAATTTCCAGTCACCCTATTGACAACCTGCCAAGATTCAAATTATTCAGACTCAGAATTATCCAAACATAACAAAGACATGTGAAAAAAAGAAAAATATTTTATTTCTATATTATTAGAACTTTCCCTTAATAAAAATTTAGGCAAAAGGACCCAGAAATGAATATATTCAGTGGTTCTCACATATGAAGCCTTATCACGCTTTAAATATTTTAGCAAAAAAGTATCCTTTTAATACTTTGGATTCTTGTGCAATGAATTAAAATTTATACATATGTAAATTGGCCATATTGAAAATTTTAAATTTAGAATTATGTGGGGAATAAGTTTAACATATGTTTAAAAACATGTAAGTTTGATATTTGTCAAAAATCACCACCTCCCCAATTCTAATTAAAGGGTAGTTTACAAAGAATACAACTTGTATAGTTTATGAAACATATTTACTAAGGTTTCGTTGCTTGAAGCCATTATAGTTTCAGCTATGGGAGTACTCTCTGAAATTACTGCACCATCTATACGAAAATGTTCTGAAGTATCCACCTGTTAGTTTGAAAACAAAACAAAAACAATAAATATAAAATAATCACTAAAACCCTACCAATCTGAAAACCCAATTCTAAGCAATAAGCCTTGCATCACCCTTTTCCTTGGAGTTCTTCTCGACCCTCTTGTGGATTCCCTAGTTAATGCCTGCAGAGGTCCGCCTTTGGAAGATCCACTTGTCCATTCAGTCTCAGTTATTCCAGCTTGAGAATAGCTCTAATCAACATCGACACATTAAAAAGTCATATTCTAACATCAAACACCTTAATAATGGCCATATTAGCACCGACAAGCCATGAAAACTCTCCAAATGCCAGCATTTGCAAACAATGCTATGCCCTCAATATATTTCTATATGTATTGACTGAACTGATATGTAGTTATCAGAAAATACTTAACGGATGGTAAAAATACATTCAAGAGTCCAACTATAGAAGCTCACAAATTGTAATAGAAACAAGGGGAGAAAAAGTGCATCAATTCATCACTGACTCCTTTTGTGACTGCTGTGTGCTATTTGCCTCTAGCACTGCAGCTGCATCTCTGACCGTCTAATCAACAAGCAGGCCGAGGCTGAGCATGAGAGACTTTCTTTGACTTATAAAAAAGTCATTTGTTACAAGTCAGAATCCTTTTAAAACAAAATACAAATTTTATAATTGTTAAACATTATTCGTTTCCTGTGGTTAGGACTATTAAACTATTAAATAGAATCAGTTTAAATTATAATCCATACACAGCTATCTGAACTTAAAAATTCCCAGGTGTCAAACTCTTCTTAAAGACATTAAATAGCAACAAAAACTTGGCGTCACCTCTTTCATGAACATGCATGCCTAACCTGTCACAGCCAAACCTCCCTCAATGCTATCCACTCCTCACTACAGAAAGATAATAGTGACACACTACTGTTTTACCTTCCAGTCCATGATTCATTTCTTCCTTGAAAAGCTGAGTAATATTCCCTCATTTAAAAAATTAAGTTACCAGTCCTTATAAAATAGCTTGAAAGCCATTAGACTAGTGCTTCTCAAACTGTACTGTGTGTTTCAACCAACTGCAGCTTTTGTTAAAATGCAGATTCTGATGTAGTAGCCCAGGTATGGGACCTGAGATTCTGCACTCCAAGCATCAAGCTATTCAACGTTGAAGCCACCATTACCAGATGATCCTTTAAAATTCTTTTAACTAGAAAAGAGCCATCCATGATTAGCATATTAGAGTGCGCATATATGGTCACTTTTGCTTTCAAGCTAATATTTTATCTAGATAAAGGATGTTTCTTTATATTTGAGTCAATGTCCATTAATTTTAAAGGTGAATATATTGCCCTAACCAGTTTGGCTCAGTGGATAAAGCGTCGGCCTGCAGACTGAAGGGTCCCAGGTTTGATTCCGGTCAAGGGCATGTACCTTGGTTGTGGACACATTCCCAGTAGGAGGTGTGCAGGAGGCAGCTGATCGATGTTTCTTTCTCATCTCTGTTTCTAACTCTCTGTCCCTCTCCCTTCCTCTCTGTAAAAAATCAATTAAAATATATTTTAAAAAATAAAATAAAGGTGAATATATTTTACTCTTATCCTGGGACAAGAGTGGTCACCCAATAAGTATGCTTATTTCGTTGGAAGTATTAGTACCAAATCCCACAAGATACTGACAGTCTCATTGGACTGATTTTGTAGTTTCCCTTTGACTCACAATCTGAACCTCTGAGTCCTTTTTCCTGCTCTCAATTAGGAAATTTTTGCTGAATGCAAACTTAATGTTAGTAAAAAGACAAATCTGTGAACAAATTACATAGACATATAATTAATGCTTATTAATAGTTAAGTTCCTGATTATTTGAATAGAAGGAAACAATGGTTTCAATCTCAATCCTTGAAGCACAGTATCATCTGGGAGCTTTTTAAAAAAACATATCAATATAAAAAACCCTTCCTTAGACCAATCAAGTCAGAATTAGAAGGGCCTGTACATACTAAATTTTTATAGCTCCTAAAGGGATTCTAATGTGCAGCCAGAGCTGAGAACTTGTTTAAGATAATATTATAACTGACTTATGATGCACCTCATTGCTTCCTCTTTAATAATCAATGCCAATATAAACAATTAGAAGTATTTTTAAAATATTCTATTTTAAAACAGTCTAGGTAAAATAGTCTATCTGGTATTATCAAACTCAGTATTTTAAAACTCTTCAATGAATATAAAACTGCATTGCTTGAAAGGTGTAATATTTACCATTTATGCAACCGATACAATATAAAGACCAAACATTTAGCCTATATTCATGAAGGTAGGGGGCTTGGGTAGACAATGTCTTTTTCCTTAAAATTAGTTAGCTACCAAATTCCAGGACTTCCCATGTTACGTTTTATTTTTAATAAATAACTAAAATAATCCCTTCATCAAAAATTCTTATGAAACATCTATTAAAACTATTATGGTTAATAAAAAGGGCCAAGTACCATTTAACGATTATTTTCTTCTATGGAAGGAAACACAAGAAACATATTTATTACCTGTGGGAATAACTGGGAAAAGGGGTGGGATGGATACTTTTCGCTATAAATTATTTATACTTCCCTTTGTTCAAGTTTGTTGAATTCTTTGGTTGAGGACTATTAATCAGTTTTATTCTTGACTCTCATTATCTAATTTAGAAGTAATCATCTTCACAGAAAACTAATACAACCAGAAAAGATATTCTGAAAATTATAAAGAATTTTTTTCTACCAGAATCCACTATACACAAGTGACTTCGAGAAGAAATAGAATTTAAAAAATTATAAAATTATAATTCAGTGTTATAACTACTTAGGAAGATGGACTAAGTAATATTAATTAAAAAGAAACTCACTGCTATATAAAATTAGTAGTTAATGTGATTGCATCCAGATTGTAGATAGTCTCTAAATAATATTTTCTATGAAAAGGATTAGGGTTCTTTAGAAAAATGGCTGATATGGTAAGAGGCAGGAAATATATATGAGCATGGGTCATCTTACTGTGCCAGAAAACAAGAAACTATCAAAGACAAACAAGGTCAATAAAAAGAAACAGGATCCAACTTAGTAATCCCAATAGCTAAAGATGGCATAATTTGAACATGAAAAAAGAATGACTGCAATTGATCATAAAATATATAAAACCATACTATTTTCCTGGCCAGTGTGGCTCAGTTGTTTGAGTGTTGTCCAATGCATTTGAGAGGGTAATCAGTTCGATTCCTGGGTGGGGCTTGATCCCAGTAAGGGGTGTGCAGGAGGCAGCTGATCAATGTTTCTTTCTCTCCCAAATCAATAAAAACATATTAAGAGAAAAAAAGAAAAAATACCATACTATTAAAAGATATTTAATGATCCCTTTTCAAAGTAACTAGGGCACTTTGATTTGAAAAGTAGGAAATAAAAGACAAGAATTAAACATTTATTCTGGCATGCCTATATGAGTTTTATTTTAAGGTAACTAAGCAGTTCATCAGGGAAGAAAGTTCTTTATAAAAATTCCAATTATAGAGGTAAAGGAATGAGAGAATGAGAGAAATCATCTTACAACTGCAAATGAAATAATGGATCTGGGCAATAATCATAAATGGCTGTCAAAACCATTAAATGAAAGGGTGATACTGAACTTTATAATGAATGGATTAGGCTTTCAACATTTGAACCCATTACTAACTAATTTTAGTATAACCAAAGGACATCATGTGAAACGATGGAATATGAAAGCCACACCACCATTTATGAAATGTTCTTGTCAAGGAAACTGAACCTGAATCTAACCAACTCTGTAATCTATGCTGTCCAATACAGTAGTTACTAACCACATGTGGTAATTTAAATTTAAGTTTATAAAGTAGTTTCTCAGCCACACTAGTCACATTCCAAGTATTCAATACCTATATATGGCTCAGGGCTACCATAATGGACAGCAGATACAAAACATTTCTGTCATCACAGAAAGGTCAATTGCATTGCCCCACTATAAATCTCTAACTCCCAGACTACAGGAAATACAGGGTATAGAAGAACAAATTAAATGACACTTGAAGAAACAATTGCCAAATCCAGAATATGAGGAATTCTATATAGCAAACCAACATGGTTTCTTCACCAAATAAATGGAGGGAGGAGAAACAGTTATGGGGGAAGTAGCTACAGATTTGAGATAAAAAACAACAAATAATATGTGGAATTTGTTTGGATCCTAATTTGAATAATTTAATCACGAGACATTTCTGAAACTGAAGGAATTAAACAGAGTAGGTATGAAAAATAATTTTTAGGTGTGAAAATGGCATTGTGTGTGTACAGAAACAGCTATGTTTTAGAGACATATACCAAAATTTTAATGTGTGAAATGACAAGTCAGAGATTTGCTTTCATGTACTCCAGTGAAAAGCAAAACAAAACCAAAGAATTAAGTTAGAGTACACGTGAAGATGAAATAAAACTGATAAAATGTTGACAACTGTTGAGGCTCTGTGACTGAAGAGTCATTAAAATCTTCTCTCCACTCTTCTATATTTTAAAATTTTGTTATCTAAGGCCACTGTCTAATTCTGCTGTCGTCTCCTCAATCTACTCTCCTTTGATTATTTATCCTGTCCTTCAGTTTAGCTTCCCCAACGGAAACAATTACCCTTTAAACCATCTTTAATATCATCCTTCCTCCCTCCTTTTTCCCTGTTATCTGACCAGTCACACATTCTTGCTAGCTCTATATCATTTTGCCTTTATACTCTGGGCCAAAATTATCCATGCTTGTCTATTTCAGTGTCCTTCACCAGATTTTCCTAGTTTCTACACTAAGTGCATCTTGCCTCACCAATAATAAAAAGGTAAATTTTCATCTAAACAAGAAAAGTGTGGTCTTAGAACCAGACTAAGTTCAGAGTTGAAGGAAAAGTCACAGAAGACAGGCAAAAGTAAAAGCAAAGCCAGAAATCTAGACACAGCCTGGCCAGCGTGGCTCAGTGGTTGGTCCAGGAGGTTCCAGTTCGATTCCTGGTCAGAGCATATGCCCGAGTTGCAGGCTTGATCCCATTGGGGGTCGTGCAGGAGGCACCCGATCAATGACTCTCTCTGATCATTGATGTTTCTATCTCTCTCTCCCTCTCCCTTCCTCTCTGAAATCAATTAAAAAAAAAAAGAAAGAAATCTAGAGACAAAGACACAAATATAAAACCATTCCCTGCCTCGCCCTAACCGGTTTGGCTCAGTGGATAGAGCATTGGCTTGCGGACTGAAAGGTCCCAGGATCGATTCTGGTCAAGGGCATGTACCTTGGTTGTGGGCACATCCCCAGTAGGGAGTGTGCAGGAGGCAGCTGATCGATGTTTCTCTCTCATCGATGTTTCTAACTCTCTATTTCTCTCCCTTTTTCTCTGTAAAAAAGTCAATAAAATATATTTTAAAAAAGAAAACAAAAAACCATTCCCTGCCTTTTAAAGAAATAACATCAGAATTACTTAGGCATGTCCATCTTTTAAAATATTTTTTTAGACAAATACCATATAATTTCACTTACAGGTGAAATCTAAAAACAAAATAGACAAAACAGAATCAGACTCACAGATGCAGAGAACTGATGGTTGGTTGCCAGATGAGAGGGAGCTTGGGGGACCAGGTGAAAGAGGTCAGGGGATTAAGAAGTACAAACTGGTAGTTACAAAATAGTCACAGGGATGTAAAGTGCAGCATAGGCAATTATAGTCGATAATATTGTAATAACTATGTATAATGCCAGGTGGGTGCTATACTTACTGAAAGGATCACTCTGTAAATTACATAAATGTCTAACCACTATGCTGCACACAAGAAACTAATATAATATTGAATGTCAACTGTAACTGGAAAATAAAGTTACAAAGATATGGTAAAAACTAAAAAAAAAAAAAAAAAAAAAAAAAAATTTCAAAACCAGTATGACTGGCTTTGAACCATGCTTAGCACAGAATCAAACACAAATGAGACATTTATTGAACACACTTTTGCAGTAAACACAGGTATACTACTGACAACACAGAATTCAGATTTCTGATGCCATTTAATGAACAATGAATGAACAATATTTAGTGTGATGGAATCTGGGTGTCAACTATTAACCAAAGACTAGGACACAGGCCTGGAAACTACTTATACCTGAATACAGTGATCATAAAACTAAAGATACCTGATTGTGCTCAACTCTTCTTTGCTTGAGTGTTACTGGAGTCTTTGCTCTGCCCTTTAGTGGTTCTCTCTTCTCAAGCTTGAGCTCTATTTTAGAGTCTGGAAATAACATTTTAGAAACCATTACTTTCTGAAACATACAATAAACAAAACCATCTTAACATTAGTTTGGAATGCTGGTTTTAGGCACACTAATATGTAAAACAAGTCATCTGTTACCTCAACAAACCAAAACTGTTTAACTGTAATTTTTGTCTTTTTCTTTTCCATTCTTATTTTATTCCATTTCTGTTTATCTCCCCCACTCCTTAATCTGATCACAACTTTCTATTCTCTTTCCCTTTTTCTGGGACAAACAACCTGAAACAAAGTGAATTCAAACTGCTCCCATGGAGGCTTTTCACGAAAAACAATTTAGAGGTGGGAAAAGAACATTAAAATATAGTTGTTGCCATTCTTTTGTCCACACAGTGCAAATGTTTAAAAATTAAAATATGTAAAGGAAATATTAAAAATTGAAATATGTAAAGGAAAAAGCTATAGGGAATTTTAAGATGAAAAACAAAACAAACCTACCTATATGGTACCAAGCTTCCAATAACATTAAGTGCAACAATGTTAATACATAAGTGCAGTTTAAGTCTCTCATCCCTTCTTTTTTGATGTGATTATAAGAAACCTAAGTACAGCCCTAGCTGGTTTGGCTCAGTGGATAGAGCATAGGCCTGGGGACTGAAGGGTCCTGTGTTCGATCCCCAGTAAGGGGCGTGCAGGCGGCAGCTGATCATTGATTCTCTCTCATCATTGATGTTTCTATTGCTCTCTCCCTCTTTGAAATCAATACAAATATATATTTTAAAAAAACTTGAGTACAACTGAGGAGGTAAGGAGAAATCTTGTTGGCAGAAAAGTGCAACCAATCACAGGCCACTTCTCCACCTCTTCCCAATACAATATAACATTTCTTTGAAAAGAAGCTAGTGCATATGTATTACTTAGCATACCACCATAATAGCTATTAACGTTAACAACCCAAATAAATATGTATGTCTTTTTATAGGCTTTAATATTCCATTCCTCTATCACTTGAAGAGCTGGATTTATTAAAAGACTAATATAAATTTTAGTTAACTTCCACATTTTGTAGCCATTTATTATCACAGAGCAAAATGTCAGTTGTTACCTCTAAAACTTGTTACCAAAAATTTTAGATTACTTTCGCACCAAAGAAGAAATGGAGTCAATTATTAAAAGCTTAGCTTTGCATGAACTCAATCCAGTTGTACTAAAAGTAGCCAAGGGAGCCATGTATCTTGCTAGCTAGTCTAGCATTAGTCAGTCCAATGTCTACTTGCAAATTTCCCAAAAATGAGCAGTGATTTTTATTTTCAGCATGTTAGCTCAAATAGTTCAATCTTTATTTAGGATTAAGTATCAACTCTATCCCCTACATCCCAAAGCTCCTATTAATAGATCTATTATATATCTGTATTTGGAACAATCCTTAACTTTATAAAATCTTAAGCTGTTAACTCAGATCCTAAGAATTAGAAAACATCCAAAGAACTCAATAGTAGTTGAGCAGAAACTGATTTAAACAAATAAGGTATCTGGTTACAGATTAATTTCTCTTACAAATTTTAAATTCCAACAGTCAATAAAAACATGGTCCTCAAATATAATAAAACTATATTTAGAATATTTTCAACTATACCACTGTAATGTCAAGTGAGTTTCAATGATGAAATGATAAAGGGATGTTCGTTCACAAATATCTAACTTATTTTAACTCCAAGAATAAAACACACATACAACATGTTGCTGGAGACCACACAAAACTGTTCAAATTTAACAACTTTATTGAATTTGCAGAAGCATTCTACAGTAATACATTTTTAAAGTCACACAGCACTTAGTAGGTACATGTATACATGTACATTTCAGAAGACAAATAACAAATAAAATTATTCCCAGAAAGCTGCAAAGATGGGCATGTATAGTCTAAGAATCTGCCTATGAGTACCCAAGGGAGCATATTTTGTTTATACTTAAATACTATTATTTTCATAAAAGTACAAAGAAGTTCGATTATCAAATGCCTCTACAGTTAAACTCTCATCTTACAATCATAGAAATGAAAACACAAGATAATATATTGTTTTATATAGACACAAAGATACTGGGGTATAGTATGATTTCTTATGACTTAAAAAAACACACCACCCAACTAACTTAAATTTGCTTTTAGAATTTAGATTAAACCTATGAACTGCAAAGTGTTGAAAGTGTTACTTTTAAATTCCCATCTTTCCAGTATGGAGTTCATCTAATAAACTACAGTGATAGTGAGAATGCACTATCCTAGAGTATCATGGTTGAGCAATGTTTCTCAGTGTGGTCAACAAACTGTTTGCCACCAGCCCATGAAGAAATGAAGCTCTTACAACAGAGTGTAGGTCTGCACACTGTTTTCTCTATCAATAAAATTTTACCAAGAAAACAAACCCTGTCATTAATCTGAAAAGTGTTCCTACATTCAAGTTCTGGTGCATGCTTGTCTGTGGATCAGTAACAGTCTGAAGACTGGCACACTGAGATGCAATAATCTAGAATATTATGAATGATACTGTAGACATAAAAACAAACAAAAGGGAGAATAATGAAAGAAAAAAAATGTAGAAAAGCTGTAGAAAGTACAAAGATATTAAGACCAGCGAAGACTCTACTTATATTCTAGTTAATAGAACTAGTTTTGAAGAGTTATAAAATCTTATGGAAAGGAGTGAACAATTTGAGATAAAAATGTAACTACAAAGCTTTAAATTGTATCAGGATTTCTATCTGTGCAACCTTTTTTAAAAGGCAGTTCTATGTAGGCAATTACTTTTAAACTATAATTTGATGGCTTGACATTTTGAAATCAGCCCCATCTGGAAACTAAAAAGACCTTAAAATTTTTTTGATTTAAAAGTACTTAAAATTCCTAGAAAATCTGCTAAGTTCCCTATATCAAAGATAAGATGGGCGTCTTTATTTTTAACTTTATTAGTGTTTATTTCCACGCTTTTTTATTACTTTGTGTATTTCTCCTCCAAATAATGTCCCACCTTTAAAGGGAGTAACAGCCAGCTTATTCTTAGAAGCTGGATTAATTTTGCAATCCTTCAACCAGAGATAACGGCGACCTAAAGTGGAAGATCCCATGGTATGGGCAGCCATCTTTACTTCATCAAATGCAGCTTCACAAAGAAATGAGGCTGCATCATATGTTTTGCTCAGAATCCCAAGTGCCTGGTGGCTATCACTAGGATCTGAGCTAAGAATTTGTGCAGCCTGACTAATGTCAGCCTGCATAGCCCGAACTACAAAGGCGGTATGGGTTGCAACCTGCAATGCTGATGCTGCAGCTTCATATGCTCTACAAAGTGCTGAGTCCAACTGTTTATCAGTTGAAGCTACCTGAATACCTGCTGGTGGAGTGGTTTCAGAAATAAACTCCAGGATTTCATCATCTACTTTTGGAACTGATAATATCTGTGTTGCCTCTTTGGAAGATATTGGATACTTGCATGCCAATGAAGGCAGCTGCCTGTCAATTTGCTGCCACTCCTCTTCAATTACTTTTAAAATAGATTCGTGGAAAGGAAAAGATAGTCCCGAGGCATCTACTTTATCATGCTGTGATTGCTTAGACATCTCTATGCCTAAGGTAGCAAGTGAGTGAGAGACAACAGTTGTAGCAAAAGAAGACATGGATTCAGATCCACGTATATTTTGAAATTCCACAAAGGAACCTGAATCCTTTTCCTCTCCTAACTTTTTACTCAGTCTAGGCAATTTTCGTGGAGGAGACAGAGATTCAGTTTCTTGAAAATTAGATTGATCAATTCTCTTCCATATGTTTTCTATATCCAGTGAGGGTGTAGTGTTAGAAGTTCCAGGCAAACTACCAACCCCACTCTGGACCAACAGAGAATCGACATAATCTCTGATTGCCTGAGCAAGTGGTGGAGAAATTACTTGTGATCTCTCAGACTCTTCTAGTGTTTTCCTTTTACTGGACAGAATCGACTGACTTGAACCATGGGACCTCTCAGTACAAAATGGTTGAATTCCACTTTTCTCTCCACAGTAATTATTTCCTATGTCTTTATAGCAAGTAGTGGTGGTTTCTTTAATCAGTGAAGGAGAAGCTGCAGCAGAGACCAACATGGCAGCGAGTTCATGCTGAGAAGATGTCGAAGAACTTTTCTCTAAACATCTATCATGGCTAGAACTGGAGGAAATGAACAAATTCCCTCCAGAGGCTAACTTGTGCAACTGTTCCCTGCCAGGCAAGGTTGTGGCAATAAGAGTTTCCCTAGGTGGGTCTCCCTTAGAAGAATGCACTTTCTTAGCTGCCTGTAGTTCAGTCCTGCCCAAAGGAGGACGGGGGGAGATTTCAGGAAAAGAAATACCCTGAAAAAATCCACCAGAGGGAGTAGTTGGAAGTTCAGAAAAAGGAACAAAATCCCTAGTGGACTTCACTTTCTTGTGTTCTTTCTTCTTTCCTGTAGAGGCAAAAGAGGCAGGAAGTTTAAGCATTACTTGTGTTTAAGCTGATTTTATTCTTTGCCTCTTTGCTAACATAGTGCTGTTGAAGGAAAAGGCTCTATATTTCATACTCGGAACAACCAATTTGACAAACTATGCCCTGGCAGGCAATGCTTAAGAGATATAAGTAATTTGGGTCAAATTAATTAATTATGAAATTATAAAACAAGTCATATAAATGAATTGAACATTTATAAATATAAACTTGTTCTTATAATAAATTTTAAAAGGTCATTTATTTCTTGTACTATTTTCAAAAATATTTAAATATATGGTCAAATTTTCTTAAAATAGTCCACTAAAATATCTGCTCTGAAGTTGCCTTGAAATCAGATTATCTAGCAAAAACTATCAATTTAAAATGCCTATAGAGAACAGAGAAAACATGCCATATGTAAACACTACTGCTATTTATTAATTATAAGGAATAAAACAGACAAGTGATAAGTGAGATCTTGGTAGTATAATAGAATAAAGAAAAGTGACAAGATTTAGCATGATATCATTTATATAGATCTTTTAAAGTACAAAGTAATACCATGTATTAGATAGATGCATATAAAAAAAACATTTTAAAATGGGCTGGAAAGCATAGAACTAATGTCAGTGATTATTTCTATGTAGATGATACTTGGAAAGGGCTAAGTGGGGGAACTTTATCTTTATTTGTAATATTTTATTCTCTGAGAAAAATGAGATTTGAAGCAAAAAAGACACAGGTACTTAGGTAATTTTAGGTGACAGAATATTAGACACTTGTACTTTTCTGTTTCTTAGAGTTTTCAACAAAAGCTATTTAAATCAAATTACTTGGAAAATTAATGATATAGTATGAAAAAAAATGACATGTCTTGGTAATATCTTAAATTTTATCATTTGCATGGTTACTGTATCTTATGAGTCTGAAAAAAAATCACATATATTTGATTAACATCATTTAAAACTTTACCTTCTTCGTTGTCACTGTATCTGTCAGAATCATTACTTCCATTCTGTCTTGTATTTTCTGCTGAAGAAGAAATTGTTGGGAAAGGAGTAGAAGATCTTGAGTCTGTTCCTTGTTCCCTCAATTTCAACAGCTTTTTCTCATATAGCTTCCTGGTTGTTCCTGTATTAAGGCAGAACTCGCTTTAGTATACAGTGGTTCTCAACCTTCTGGCCCTTTAAATACAGTTCCTCATGTTGTGACCCAACCATAAAATTATTTTCGTTGCTACTTCATAACTGTAATGTTGCTACTGTTATGAATCGTAATGTAGATATCTGATATGCAGGATAGTCTTAGGCAACCCCTGTGAAAGGGTAGTTCGACCGCCAAAGGGGTCACGACCCACAGGTTGAGAACCGCTGCTTTAGTACTTACATTGTCTTATTTAAGATAAACTCAGACATTATCTTTAGCAACATTAAAATGTTACTTTCATTTTTTCCTTTCTAATTATTTAAGTGCTTAAAAATGAAAAATGAATTCTTTTTTAAATAATTATTTGTTTTTAACCTTTGCCTGAGGATGTTTTTATAGTTTTAGAGAAAGGGGAAGAAGAGGAACATCAATTGGTTGCCTCCCATATGCACCCCTACCTGGGAATCGAACCCTCAACCTTTTGGTGTATGGACTCCAGCCAACTGAGCCATCCGGCCAGAGTTGTATAATGAATTATTTTATAAAAATATATTTTCATAGTATTTTAACACAAAATTACAACAATGTTTCCTTTATAGCATGGGATACATAGTAGATTGATATAGGTCCTTTTAGATAACCTACTGAAGAACCAGATAGGACTGAGTATTTTTGCCTCAAAAGTTTTAGAATTTGTATATTTTCTCCAGTACTACATAATAGTACTTGCCTTTGTAGAAAATCTATTTTTTATTAAACGATTGTACTCATCTAAATTACTGGGATTAATTTAACAACCTGCCCAACCAGAGTGGCTTAGTGGTTGAGCACTAACCCATGAACCAAGAGGTCCTCCAGTTCAATTCCCCGGTCAGGGCACATGCAGGCTTGTTACCCCATTGGGGGTGTGTAGGAGGCTGCCAATGGATGTTTCTCTCTCATTGATGTTTCTATCTTTCTATCCCTCTCCCTTCCTCTCTAAGAAAAATCAATAAAAACATATTAAACAACAACAAAAATAGCCATCCAGTTATGGAAAAAATACTATAAATCCATTTTTTAAAAATATATTTTTACTGATTTCAGAGAAGGGAGAGGGAGAGAGAGACAGAAACATCAATGATGAGAGAGAATCACTGATTGGCTGCCTCCTGCTGGGGATCCAGCCCATAACCCAGGCATGTGCCCTTGACTGGAATCAAACCCAGGACCCTTCAGTCCACAGGCCGACGCTCTATCCACTGAGCCAAACCAGCTAGGGCTATAAATCACTTTTAAAAATGTAAATGTGTTTGGCATAATGTTGGTCAGAAGATACAAAACTTCAGTTATGCAAGATGAATATGTTTGGAAATATATATAATTGTGTAAATTTAGTGTTGAACCACATTTTATGAAAACTGTGTAACAGAAATTATAACAATTAGATGGCAAAGTAAAATTGAATATAAATAAACTTTTTGGCCCTGACCGGTTTGGCTCAGCGGATAGAGCGTCGGCCTGCGGACTCAAGGGTCCCAGGTTCAATTCGTCAGGGGCATGTACCTTGGTTGCGGGCACATCCCCAGTGGGGGGTGTGCAGGAGGCAGCTGATCCATGTTTCTCTCTCATCGATGTTTCTAACTCTCTATCCTTCTCCCTTCCTCTCTGTAAAAAATCAATAAAATATATTTAAAAAAAATAAAAAAATAAAAAATAAACTTTTTGTTTAACCCTCATCTGAGGACATGCTTTAGACAGAGGAAGGGAGAAAGAAAGAAACATCAATGTGAGAGAGAAACATTGATTCATTGTCCTCTATACTTGCCCCAACCAGATTGAACCTGCAACCCAGGTTTGTTCTCTGACCAGAAATTGAACTGGCAGCTTTTTGGTGCACAGCTGAGACACTCTAGATGGGCTAAAATAATTCTCAACACTTCAATGTCAATGACAATTTAAAGCAGGGGCCCTCAAACTACGGCCCACGGGCCACATGCAAATACAAATATTGTATTTGTTCCTGTTTTGTTTTTTTACTTCAAAATAAGATATGTGCAGTGTGCATAGAAATTTGTTCATAGTTTTTTTTTAAACTATAGTCCGGCCCTCCAACGGTCTGAGGGACAGTGAACTGGCCCCCTGTTTAAAAACTTTGAGGACCCCTGATTTAAAGCAAAAAAATTGCTTTTATTTTTTGTTTTAAACTAGCTGTATGTCTTCTCCTGATTTCTGTAAGATGAATAAAATGACAATGTATATTTTTAGAAACAACACATATCTCAAAATGTTATATAAGTAGTCTTGAGATGAACAGCTAGGGAGGGGGAAATGGGAAGATGTTGGTCAGAAGGTATAAAATTTCAAGATGGGTAAGTTCTGGAAATCTAATGCGTAACATGGGTCATAGTTAATGATACTGTATTTATTATATACTTCAAATTTGGTAAGAAGTTAAACCTTAAGTGCTTTCACCACACAAAAGAAAATTATGTGAGGTGATGGATATGTTAATTAGTTTGATTATGGTGATCATTTCACAATGATTATATATATCAAAACATCAAGTTACACACCTTAAATATATATAATTTTGTAAACTAAACCTCCATATAGCTGGGGGAGAAAAAGGAATAGTCTGTATACCAACCAACATGTAGTTTAATATATACTGACTAGAGGCCCAGTGCACGAATTCGTGAATGGATGGGGTCCCGCTGGCCCAGCCCCAAACAGAGGAGGAGACGGTGGGCAATTGGCCAGGAGGCCCAGCCCCCAAATGAAGGGGGGGGGGGGAGATGGGGACCGATGAAGGGTCAGCGGCCAGGGGAGGTTG